GTTTCATCCGTCCTCATCTGGTGAGATCGACAAACAAATCTCTTCTTCATGTACTTTCATTCGAAACGAAGGTCCCCCTAACTAAGTTTTCCTACCTGGATAAGAACACTTTTTGAGAAAGCAAGACTGTGAAATTCGGTGTAAATGTCAGCTCTACTCATTTAATTGTAGGAAAATTCAGCTACCAACCCTTCATCAAATTTAAACGAAATAGGATGAATACATCTCATATGATTAGCACAAAGTTCAATTACTTCCTTACATCTCATACATCTCATAGCACTGAGTTTAGTCTGAGGCTTTCAGTGTAGAACGCTGTTAGCAGACGATAATGAAGCTGGTAAAGAGGAGTGTTTGTTTGTGCTTTGCATGCCTTTCAATGGTTCCCATTTGGCCACCCTTTGTCATGGGGCAATGTCCTCTTCTGGAACTCTTTCCGACAGACAGCGTCAAGTTTTCCTTCCATCAAACTGCATTGACTTTGTTGTCGACATCTCAGTTGGAGGAACTAGAGTAGCTGAAGGGGTCGTCTATGCCTGGCTGCCCTACCCACTCCCACAAACTCGCATGGCCTGTGTCCTATCGAGGTCCGAAGGCAGTGATTCAAAGTCTCATGACCACGTGGGTGAATCTGGACAAAATGGTGTGCAGGTCCACTGTGGAAAAAGAAGCTGGTGGCGCCGATTGGCTATTCACACTTTACGTAACCAAAGCGGCATTTTCTCCTTATCGAATAGAACATAGCCTTGGTTGCTACAGCGGAAGATGGTTGAACAGACCAACCTCTTATAATGAGATGTATTCATCCTATTTCGTGTAAGGTGATGAAGTACTGGTAGTTGAATTTTCCCACAATTATATGATTAGAGCTGATGTTTTCCATATAATTTCACATAGCCTTGCTTTCCCAAAAGATTTTCTCATCCCGGCTGGAGTGGACTGCAATTTCGACCCCGCCTAGATTCTGTCAACATCTCAAGCGGGAACTGAACCATGACAATGCCGCGTGTAACCACATGAGCCATTACATCACATTACCACGATTGCCCTTGGGTCACAGGGACGATGTGAATTGCAAGGAATGCCAGGCATTTTTCTAAATCACATTCCATGTTGTGCTTGTCGATGAAGCAAGCTTACATTTGCCATAGAAATCGACGACACTACTTTTTTCGTGAGTGAATAGGTTTTTGAGACTGCCATTAAATCGGATATATGAATGGTGTTCACCTTATTTCGTTTTAAGGTGATGAAGTACTGGTAGTTGAATTTTCCCACAATCACATGAGTAGAGCTGATATATCAAGATTTGCTTTGCAAATTAGTTTTCATTTTTGTGTCTTCTCACTCGCACGGTTAATTTTTCAATTGGCCGCAATAGCCAAATTACAATGCCCGATCCAACTGGTGGAGTGATCAGAAGATGCCGGCTTTTATGAAGGCAAAAGCATGGACCAAGTCCGGGACACTAAATGTGACAGTGATAAGTGAAGAGGGACGGTATGGGTGGATGGGAGTTGACACTGAAAGGATAATGAGCTTCTGTAGAAGCGATGCGTAAATTGGTTAGACTGAATTGCAGTCGCTGGGTTGATCTCGGTTTGGGCCAAGTCAACGTGAAAAGTGCAGCTGAATTATTCGAGAAAAATACGCCTCGTACTAAATTGGAAATTGGGGGAAAAGCGAAAGAGCCCATCTGTACCAAATTCAAGTCGGCTGGCCAAGGTCAAATGGTCCATGAGAAATGGGGGCAAAATGCTGACACGCCTGTCCAATGCGGGGATGAAATAAGTGTCATGTCATGGCAAATGACCAAAATGTGACTTTAATTAAAACTTTAGTCGAGAGTTTACTGTTTTCATTTAACTTCACGTGGCCTTGCTTCCTCACAGGAATTCGTGACCTGGTCTGTTTCGTTTCGGATGAGACCAAATGACACATTCTTTCCAAACCTTTTTTTCTTTGAAACAATCGTCAAGCATGCCAATTTTTATTATTATTGTCCGCATTACTGCCAACGATTATACTTCACATTCTCATAATCTATCCGCATTTAGGATGAATTGTGGCGAGTTTATTTCACTCCAATCGGCCAAGAAGTGATCAATGAGTTCTCCCTTCGCTACGGCATCGAAGGCATCTTCCAGGCGATGACGTAAGCTGCCTTGTACCCTTTTTCGCATTGTTCTCTCTCACTAGCCTCAGCCAGCCCTAAAGTGCTGGTCAATACGGTTTGGCGCGTTCAATCGGGTTCCGGCCATTTTGGACAGACGTCTTTTTAAGGCCTGTTCTTGACGACGAAAATGTCATCCACGGAAGCCTCACACAGACGTCATCACTAAGGCAACAGATGATTCCTGAACAGCTCCCAGCCCTACGATGTAGGAGCCCGGTCGAGTTTACGACAGACGAGAGCTCTATTGCTGAGCCTACTTCCCTTTCGAATGAAAGGTTTTGCTGAAGAGATTCCAAGGTCGATCCCACCAGAAGGCGACCTTCAACATATTCCTTTTGACTGGAACATGCTTGTTGACGCTGTTTCTGAGCTAATCTCTTTGAATAACGGTGAAAACTTTATAAACTTGCGTGCTTCCCATGCCGAACATCTTCAGTGCAGAGTATCATCCTTAACTAAATTTAAGTTGACGAGTTATGACATACAAGGACACATGCAGACACATATGCATGCATAGACAGACGAGCTCACATGCTTCCAGATTGATATATGACTGGAATTAAGCAAATCACTTTATATGTCATCAAAGAGGTCAGATATAGAATATAAATACAGCATTTTAACGATAAGACGGTCGGTTTTGTTGACGCGGTAGCTTGAATATGGTTGTAAGGATGATATATGAGAAGAGAAGTTGGGTTTCGAGGAATCTCTTTTTTCATAATTGTTGAGCTTACTTCCATTTCAAGAGAAAGTTTTGGGTGAAGAGAATCGAAGGTCGATTCCACCAAAACACGACGGCGGATTCTTCTTGACCAGCTGTCGATTGGCTTTACTGCAAGATTCATGCTGACGCTGTTTCTGAGGAAATCGTCTTCGAGTCCGGCGAAAAAGTGCTAAGCTTTCGTCCGTCACATGACGATTATCATCAGAGCGAAGTAATATCGTCAAGAAAAATTCAAGTTAACGAGTCAAGAAAACTCTAAACACAAACTGGCACATACACATACAGAGACAGACACATTCACATGCATTGAAGTTGGCATATGACCGTAACTAACCAAATCACTTTATTCTTGATCAGAGGCCAGATTTAAAGTAGATATACCAATTTTTATGACTTTGTCGGTGATTTTTCTTGACTCATATGACGGACGGAAGCTTAGCACCTTTTCACCGGACTCGAAGGAGATTGCCTCGAAAACAGCGTCCGCATGAATGTTCCGGTAAAGCCAATCGACAGCTGGTCAACAGGAATCGGCCGTCGTCTTCTGGTGGAACCGACCTTCGAATCTCTCCATACAACAATTTCATGTGAAATGGAAATAAGCTCAACAAGTAAGGATGTTAGCCTGCTCTGATGATGTGCGTCATACGATGGGTGAAAGCTTAGCTGGTTTTCGCCGGAGCCGAAGAAGACTCGTTCGAAGGCGTCGTCAAGTAGAACGTTCCAACAAATCAAAACAACAACTGGTCAATAAAAATCCTTCATCTTCGTCTCTTCATCATGCACCTTACCTCGGAATGGGAATGAAATCCGCGATTGTGAATCAATGGCTAC